AAAATTATAAAGGTTATAAAATTAAAACTTACAAACTTAAAAACAAGGCTATTATATCTAATGTGTTAATCGACGTTCAAATTCAAATGAGAATATCGCTCTGTAGGGCAGACAAAGAGGTCTGTATACATATATTTATTATTATTATTCCGAATAGATTCTAATAAGATAAAATAAGATTTGTCAAGACTCTCTGTCAAGTTTTACATATTTATTTCTTTGTGAATTAATCTCTTCTATTTTTGTTCTTTAATATTTCTTTAAGCTTTTCCGAAATTCTTCTTTTATTATAATTAATTTCATCTAAAATTTATCTAAAATTTTAGTGTTTTTTCCAATCTAATGAATAATTATAATTCAACATATGTGTAATGACAGAGTGTCTAGATGGATTACATCTGATATTATTTCTGTATTCATTGACTCGAGTTCCAAGTTCTCTCTTTGTCTTTCCCACATATAAAATCGCAATCACTACAACTTATTTTATAAATCACATTCTAAACGGAAAATTTGTTCAATTTATCTTTATGTATTTTAATAAAAGACATCAATTTGTTTCAGCATCTATAATAGTGGATTTTATTAATAAAGAACGTGATACTATTTATTACATTTGATAAAAATGGTAAAATAAATTTTTTTTTAATTTTACCGAAAATCAATAATTATTATACATATAAAAATAAATAAACATATGAATGCTATACAATTTAAAAAAAAATATAACATAAAATTATTCTTTGGCACTTTTTCGATTTACTTGCTAAGTATTGAATGCCCGGCAGTCAAATTTGTTATACAATTACTATAATAAATATGCTTTGTTTATAAAATGTTTTTCGTGCTGGCGACTTGTATATGAGAAATCTGTTTTCACTTTTTAGTAACAACCGCATAATTTGATTCCTCCACTTAATGCCCTTTATAAGTACGAAGAGCGACGATTGTGCTGCAGAAATATAAAGCCGCATTTACCAGGCCGCAAATCTAGATAACAATTAAAGTAATATTTATATTATAGTGGTATTTACATAATATATAATAAGATCTGCATAAGTAATTGCATAAGTAATCTGTATAAATAATGTTTATTTAAACAACTCAGATCTAACAACACCTTTTACAATTTTGATAGTCTTGCTAAGAAAAAAATTTACTGAAATTGACAAATATGATTCAAATTCTTTAGATGAAAGATGATTCATTAAATGATTCATTAAACTTATGACATTTTGCCAAATAACATATCGCATAAAGTATATAAAAGACATTTTTTAGACGTTCTAAAGATGTCTAAAAGACATACATGATATCTGGGTTGTACAATTATATACAGATTAATAGAAACAACAGTAACGCTATTATCGCTACTTTTTTATAATAACGTTTTATAATAATAATTTTTCATAACATAATAATTTTTTATAACAATAATGTCATGATTGGAATTTTATGCGTTATGTAACGAGTAAGTTAACGAGTTACTTTTTTCAATGAGAAACGCATAATAATAAACAAGTTATTTTCAAAAGTGACTATCCCAACCTTGGCGTTAAAATAAATAAAAAAACATAACGTCATTACCAAATCATTATTATTGTATCAAAAAACGATGACAGTAACGATAATGACGTTACACGTAACACGTTACTTGTCATCCCTGTAAATTAATTATTCAAATTAAATAATATTGTAATTAAATAATATTATAATTCTATATTTTATAACATTGTACATACGGAAGCACCTAATAACAGCTCAAAACCTCTATGTTGTTTATCATTATTGATGTTTATCAAGAGGGTCAATGAGGCCGCAAGTAACAATCCAAATGCAATGGAATTATAAATAATTTCCTAAAAGTATCAAAAATTATATCAATCAACATATCATTTAAATTGTTATAAATCTTTTCTTAATTCTCACGTTTTTAATATATTATTTAAATAAATTTTAACATTAAAAAATATTTTTCTTACAGTTTAAAAAAAGTAATAACGTATATTTACTTACAAGTAAAAAAATGCAAATAAAATACAGACAACAGATTATGTAAATTATATTTAAAAAAATTTAAATTATGTATAATTTAAATCATATGAAATATAATTACAATTTTACATATATTACATTTTTTATTTTTGTACTTACATAGATAGTCTTCGACATAATAGTTGCAGTAGTGACAGATGTCAGAAAACTGAGAAGAATGATGAAAGTGCCAATCATGAAAGTAGTCGTTATAAGAAGAAAAAAAAGCTCTGTGGTATTTCGATAATATGAAGCGGTACTAAATTGGTGACCAACAATTCCTATGCAACATATTCCCAGTATCTGTTTGTAAAAATATGAAAATATGAATATATTAGATTAGACAGATATAATTTTTTTATGTAAAAATTAATTGGTAAAAATGTATATATGTATATATGTACAATTATTATATATAATTTTGTTATGATACAATAATATTGTATATAATATTGTATATAATATGATACTGCATAACGCTTATACAATAATTATACATATAAATTCCTGATTATATATTTAGATATCATAATAATTCACATATATATATTCATATATTAGGTATGGGAAAAAATTCATGACGTTTTTTTAATGCCATCTAACGGGAAAAACGCCACGAACTTTTTTCCATACCTAATATGTATGTGTACATGACTTCTTATAGTTTAAATATAAATTTTTATAATTATCTATAAGGATTATCATCCGTCATAGCATACCGTTTTGTCATACGTATTTATATATAAAAGGTAATACTTTATTTTATCAATGTATAAATTTATAATATTTTATTTTTCAGGAAATTTTAATTAAAATCTTACAATCTTAATTTATAAACCGGTCAAATTAATTTTTTTTTACTGTAAGGATGTATCTCAGTAAATATATTGATTTTGTATACGTTTCTTAAATGGTTATTGAACATTAAGATACATAAATTTTGCATTAATATCTATTATTATAATATCTACATTTTGATTTAGTTTGATTATTTAATTCCATTAACTTCTTAAAAATGATCATAATAAAGGTCAAAACGTTGTCTATGATTTAGTTTATGAATTTATCAATTTATATTCTTCAGTAATATTGAATTTTAAAGATACAGTCGATTTTTTATTGTGAATTCTAACAAATAAATTGAAATTTATAAAAAATATAATCTAACTTCTATAATATTAAAATAATAGTAAAACGTCATTGTTAAAACTTTCACAAGTATGTAAGAATTTTTTCAGATTTTTATACAGTGAAACAACATAAAAATCTGTATTGAAATTCGAAGACTCAGTTAGAAGACAAAAAGCGAAAATGTTCAAAAATTGCCAACCAAGGCTTGATATATAACATTTATTAACACGAAAAATCTGCTTGATTCATTTAATTTCTTTTAAAGTATGTACAATTTATGTACAATTTATTAGTAATTTATTAAAATTATTGTTCTATGATTTTAATGAAAAATTATTTCTACTATCCATAATTAATTTTAAAAAACCGTCTTATATTAAAAAATAATAATGAATGCTTGAAATAAAAAGAAATATAATTAGAAATATATTAATAATGACTTAAAAAATTAAATATATGAAATAATAATGAGGCGCATACCAATTGTAACAACTTTAAAATACCACTCGAAGTTTTCAAGTAAACGAAATTGAAGGTAATCGTGGGCGCGATCGATGGCCGCGATCTAACTGATGAATGAGCCATCTTTTATTGGTTTTAATGTCAGTTCTGAAACCAAAGATAATTATGTTCTCCATTTTCTATCGTTATTTATAAAGATTCCATTCAATATGCGTAAGCGGGAACGTTTACTTGCGTCAAGTAGGACAGGATCAAGTTTTCGAGACTTACATTGAGACCTACATTGAGAGAAAATCTTCACAGTTTTTTTATGAAAACAGAAATATGTACTTTTATTTTCTCTCGAAATTCGAAATTTGTATGTCTTTGCAAGAAAATTATACGTACCTACATATATGGATATCTCTAATTATATATATTATATGTAGATATATGTATATACGTACGTATGTAAACATACATACATATATATGTTGAAAGTAATTAAGATTTGTAAAAAATTAATAAATATTTTTTAAAAAACATTTAATTTCGATAAATAAAATTAATTCAATATTTAATTGCATACTTCAATAGATGAAACGCACATAATGCACATAAACGAAAACATTCCCATTACAAGATATTCTTTGATAATCCGAAATTCAGACACACCCTTTAAGTTGCCCGATCGATAATGCGTAGACCGAATTTACTTTCTCTCATTGAAGAGACGCCATATACAATAATAGGAAAAATATTTTAATCTAAGTGATAGTTTTTTATATTTTTTATTGAATTTCACTTTATCCAGTTGAATTATATATTGATGAAATTAGCTGTTATCTTCTTAATAATTATATTAAATTTAATATGCATGATAATTATGATAACGCATACATCTTCACAAATGAATAAATTGAATTTAATATTTTTACAAGAACTTTGGAACTTTTAGTATAAAAAGTATTTATGTCGATATCATATTTTTCTGATAAAGAAAAACTGAAATGATTTATCAATAAGAATTACATCAAAATAAAAGATATTTTTTTATAAAAGATGTTTTATAAAATATCTTGTTTCTACTAATTGCGATAACTTATTATTATTCAAATATTTATAAGTGAATTACAAAAAATATAAATTGTAAAATATAAGATAAAAAAATAAACATAAGAAAGATAAACATAAAATAAACTATAATATACTATAATAACATATAAATATAAAATAAATATAAAATAATTTTTTATGCAAAATAACGATCCATTGCATTATCTATCATAAATGAATATAGGATGTATATAACAATTATTTAAAAATGCTGAATGGAAAAAATTGTGGCTTGCATTACATATAATATTTTATGTTTACAATATTATAAATAAACATTAAAATCTAACTTATCAAAAACGTAATCTTTTCGTATCTTTTAAAAAGATTACACTTCTCGCATGCACTTCTCGCATTTCAAAATAACTTCACATACAAGATACTTGTATAATAACATATGTAAGAAGAAAAAGAATACTATAAGTTTATACTAGCATATAAAGGCAAACAATGTTTATATTATGATATTAACAACGAGAAATATTAAAGTCAGTCATGTAAAAATTTGGCATCACTCGTGGTTGGGGGTCCATATTACGAACAAGCAAATGTCCGCTTACGCTTGGGTTATTTTTAAGTATCTAGAATACACACGAAAGACGTGAGTTAAAAATTTATCAAAGCAACTGATTAGAACTGAATTTGTCAATTTATAAATAAATTTTCTTAATTATAGATAAATTCTCTTAATGTTTCCTAGAAAAAATTTCATAAAATATCACCACTGATTATATTTTATTCATAATACTATATATATTTTGCTTATATTTTCCAAATTATTAATTAATTTTTCAAATTACTAAACTATTATATTGAGTAAAGTTTAAAGTTTTCAAGTTATCTCTCTTATTAATTTTACTCAGAATAAAAAAAAATTTTGAATTACATAAAACAACGTAGCAATTTAATGTACAAATAGCACATTAATTATATCAAGTAACAAATAAGTTGCGATTTTTTTATTCTTTATATTCATTGTCTTTATAATCAAAAAATATGAAATTTCGTTCAATAAATACGAATAAAAATCTTTTGAACTTTCTTGACAGTATAAGAAAATTGCATTGTTACGTTAGTATTACAAATATATTTGCGGAAGTTTAGATTGTAATTATTATATTATATCGAATTATTGTAATTTTCAAATATTACGCGTTTATTTTTTGCATGTAAAATTATTCAATTTATAACAACCGGATAAATATAATAAATTATTCAACGGAATTGAATGAAAAATGATATTGTACGACTGAATGATGAATAATTAATCAAAATGCATATTTAGTCAAGAATATAAAAAATCGCACATGCCATATGAAACTACACTAACCTGAAAACACGTTGTTACACACCAACTGTCAGTGACTGACTGGAATGTTGCGTTTTGAAAATCAAAGATGACGTCATTGGTGATATCATACATCCACACATTTTTAGACAATACGTATGTATATACTCGATATAGATACATCGCGATTCTGGTAAGGTAGGCGAGGCAAGGTAAATAAACATATTGAACATAGCCTTTTTAACGGAAATAATTTAATAAACAAAGAATATGAAATAACGAATGCGTGATAAAGCATTTAGTATTGTTTACAACGACATGCCAATGTGATGCATGATTAATTTGTCATCTTGCTGCTTGTTTTTATATAACTCTCTTTGCATTTATATCCAATGTAATGTAAAAAGAAATAGAAATTGTCTACATAAAAACTGTCTATATATACAAAAATTAATTTTAGAATGCTATTAATACCTTATGCACATATATATGTATAAATGAACAAAGAATTGCGTTAAGCTACACGGAAACGCAACAATATATTTTTCTGAAATATCTTAAAAATTTAATTGGATATAAATCTGAAAATTTTATTGGACCATTATATAAGTATATTTCTACATAATTATATAGAAATGTATTTACATATAATAATTATGTATTTAGTTAAATTTGTACATATTTAAGTAAGTTCTTTTTATATATGCCTTCAGTAATCATTAAGAGATCCAAATCCGCTGTGCTAAAAATTAGAATAAGTAGAGACAAGCTTTCAGAAATTCTATTCATTATATAGGGAGTCAATTTAGATTTTCTGGTTAATATTATAACAGAAAATGTGATAAGTGATTTCAACAATCACAATTGTGTGTTATTATTTTATATTATTATATTTTTATATTATTATATTTAAATATTATGAGGAGACGCTCACACAATTGAATTACATAATCCGTATCATTTCAAGATTTAATTTAATAGTGTGCTTCTTATTCTTTTTATCTTTCTTTTTAAATTAATAATTATTAGGTTATTTGGTATAAAGGTCTAAATGATTGAAATGTATGAAATGTGTGAAAAACTTGTATTATATTAATTAACTGTGACCTACTTTCTCGTATATAAAATTTATATATTAATAGCAATATATTGTATTACTCGATATCGATAGTGTTCTCTATGGAATTAAACATGAAACAATAATGATAAGATACTTAAATTTGATACGTCCATGCTAGGAGTAATAAAGAAATACATGTATTTATAATATTAGCTTTTAATTTTCCTTTATTCATATATAGCATCCAAGCTTAAAAATAAATAAACTTCGAAAATTAAAAAACTGTTTGAACGCAGATATATGTATATATATTATGTATATATCACCGCGTAAATCTATTACGATGCGCGGAAAGTAGCGCTACACATAAACAAATATAATAATGTTTAGATTAACAATTTTTCGAAAGTATAATATAAATGCGTAAGTGTTGACGCGGTATGAATAACGAATGGAGTGAGAGAGATAAGTAAGTGAATCCGTTCTCTTACGCTGATAATAAGAAAAAAGGCACATAATCTTAATTGTCAGCATAATGTTCATTTTTAAGTTACAGTTAATCGCGTCGGTGCTATCACGCTGGCAATAATGATCCGCGAACGCAAGTGACGGACGCGCAAAGGCATTTTTTGAATGTAAACTTCTTGCATAAATATATGAAACATAACAAAAAACCGATATAAATATAAATCGAGCTGTAAGTTATATCCATAACCGATTTGTCGAGACAAAAATTTCCCTTAATCCATACAAAATATATGATTTGAGACATGAGAATGAATATAAGAATGTAAAAGGAAATTACACTGTATCCGATTTAAACAGGATATGTATATATAATATATATACCTATGTCATATTTATATATATTATGTATATATAAAGAAATATATATATGTGTGTGTGTGTGTGTGTGTGTGTGTGTGTGTGTGTGTGTGTGTGTGTGTAAATAAGATCTCGCGGGAGTGCGCAAGAGTACGGTTAGAAAATAACGCACTTATATCTGTTGCATGAGAAGTTAATCCGTTAAGACGAAACGAATCGACATAATTACCGACGAAGATCATCCAATACAGGCTTCGCTAAAATAGTTTTAGATAATAAAGTCTTTGACAATTAAATTGAATTGAAAACCAACAATCCTTCGAAAACTTACTGTATACTGCAGATATATTAAGGTTTCTTAAAACTATTTATCTTATCGTCGATCGAAGGATTATACAATCGAAGTGCAGTAATACAAACGAAATGACGCCAGTCTCTCATTTTCACGCAATTTTACAAAATTAACTTCAGATCTGTATGTAATATTAAATATAGTAAAGACATAATTTATATAAGATGATAAAATTATTTAATTAAAAAGTTAACGTATAAACTAATATTATAAAAATAGGGATAATATTGTGGAAAACTAAATGATAAATATTTTCAACATATAATTTAGCGACTATATAATCTTTATCTAAAGATACATACTTATTTCTTTATTAACAAGCAGATTAGATATATAATATGTAAATAACTCTTATCATGAAATTATTGGAATCTTCGTATGAAGACAATCTTTTGGCATTTAAATTTCAAAATAGGTGTTAGTTTTATTTCTTAAATTATTTCTGCGCTATAATTTCAAGTAAATTACGATTTTCGCGTAGACTTTGTGAACATTATTGTCTTCAGGCAGGTATCTCGAATGTAGCACTCCGTTCGCTCCTACGACTTCGTCAACCCTTCTCAATGCGGCACCCAATTTCGTTCTAGTGATGATCACGACAAATAACTAATCTTAAGGCACGTAGGTACAGAGTCTTTTTTTAAGCTACACACGATCTGAGAAGGATCACGCCGGACTAGTTTCAAACCGTCCCTCCCAGCGTTGACTTTGCTGAGCATGATCTTGGGACCATGCTAAAATTTCCTTGGACGGACGCTGAGAAGTCGCGGATCTAATCGCGGCAATTGTTGTTGTATGCTCTTCAGGTACCTGGCTTATCCTCTGTAGGCCGACGATGCTCATTGCGTATTAGTGCTCTTCCATTCAATGTATAGGAAATAAGCTCCGGCGGCGTATGCGATAGTATTGAAGATTCCAAATATCTGTAATCAACGTTGATTGTATTTTAATGATATTGTTGTCATTGATGATTATTGAGAGTGATTTTCAGTTTTCACACTAGCAAGCCTCACCCCAGCAGCGATATTCGATGATGAAGTTTTGTGTGCGCTCCAAGCCGATAGCTGAACGATGAATGCGATCATGTAAAGCACAGTTTTTGAAGATGTATTTAGAAGTTCCTAAAAAATATTTGTTTTTTAATTAAATACACATCACAACTTAAAATTGATTTTAGATAGATTCACATATTTATGTGAAAAATAAAAATAAAGCTAAATACAAATATTTTTTTAATATTGATGTTAAGTAATATGCAAATAATGTGGACCGTGGAAAAAAAAAGACGCATTTCGCAATTCCTTTTATAATTTTTTTTTCTTTTATACTCACAGTTAGAATCCAATTGATGGGCACCTTAAGTACCTCTCGAAGGGACAGGAAATATATGACGCACCATATAAGTGTAGATATAAAGCATATTACCACGACAAACAGAAACCAATGCGTTGCACCTATGTACGCTGGAGACGCGCACGCCATACATATTATGCCCAGACCCTGAAAAATTATCAAACATTATTTTCGTTATCGTCACTAGTAGTAGCTAACGTAAGCGAAAAGTTTTAACAATCATAATAACAAAAACAATATAAGCTACACAGTTAATACGCATTCATAACGCAGATGATAACATTTTTACTATACAATTTCAATTTTGTTTATATGTTAACATGTTATTATGGTTCATTTACAGTTCACTTGATACTACAAATTGGTAGCATTTATAGTATTAAGTGAACTGCATCCTACATTTAAAGATTTTATTATTGTACAACGATCATCTACAGTTTCAACTTGTCTTGATGGAAATAAAACATTTGATATGAAAAGAGTTATCAAAAATTAAAATTTATTTTATGTTTGTACATTTGTTCATAAATATAAAGAAAAAAACTTCATGTCACTAAAGTAAGTTATTTATGTCATTTTAGTCGAATCAATTTAATTATTGCAGAATTAGAAAAATAAATTTGACAGATTTTATTTTAGACAGCATAATTTAGTCTCTCAATCTTGTAAAGATTTAATTTATTCCTTTTGCGTCCATATATATATATATATATATATATATATGTAATATATATTACTTTTTACATTTAAGGAGGGAAATGTATAAATAGTAAGTATAAAACATTTTCATTCATTTACTGTCAGTAAAACAAATTTATGAATTAAAATTTTTGGATGTTTTATATACGTATAATGCGAAATACTTTAAGTTAATGAAACGTTGTTTAAATAAATAAAAGTATGTTCAATTTATACTTACTTTCTAAAGATTATGCTCTTTCATATTTCTTCAATTTATATTTTATTTATTTTTGTAACTTAAACTCTTGACTGTATACTATTATAAATAAGCAAAACATGTAAGTTTATATTGCGTCATATTATTTAATTGCTTGTGGCATCTTATCCGTATGTAAAGGGAAAATGTCACTAAGATATATCAATTTTTTCCAATAATAAATATATTCCATACCAGAATACCAAATATTTAATTCATTAATTTGTATAAATAAAAAAGAAAATATAAATAATATTGTTTCCTAGCTTAATTCAATAACATGAAGAAGTTATTCAAAAATAAATGTTTAAGTGTTGTGTCGCCTCGAGTCACCTTATGTGTAATTCATTGAAAAAATTTTCTGAGCTATCTTGAACTATCTTATCTTATCAACTCACATTTACAACTTAAATTATCATCATGCAAAATTAAAATGGTAGCTGCTCTTTTTGTAGGAGAGCCTTCCGGAAAAACTTTTGCATTTACAAATTGTTCACATTTTGTAACCTTTCTTTTCCCTTTTTTGCACAAGTGTTCCAAT